TATATATTTTGGATGCAAAATCTTTAGTAACATCAATGTGGAGTAGAATCAGGAGAAATGGAAAGAAAATAAAAGTACCAAAATCTTCTACTTAAGTACAGTAATTGAGTAAATGTAGTTTTTAAAGCTCTACCTCCTCCATACAATTTTGCCTTATTAAAACATGCGACAATTAATCATTTATACATAACTGTTCTTTGAGTGTATTTCTAATATTTTGAGTGTGTTCAATGACAGAAAGTTAAAATAAGTTCCTGTCTGTTGTGCATTCGAGGCCAATTTTTTTTCTTCTGCGTAGGACACTGTGTTCTCCCAGTGTTGTCTTCAGGGACATGTAGGTCCTTTTTATATGTTACTTTGCAGTGAGCATCTTGTACAGATTATGCAAAAAAAGAGAGGAAGTCGAAGGACAATCACCCCTCAAAGCACAACATGACCAAATGTAAGTCTTTCACACTTTCTCACATAGTCCTTTGCTTTTCAGAACAGACCTAGATCTAGACTGGGTGGAAAAAAACAGAGAGCAAATTGTTTAGTTTTTTTCACGCATTTGGTGTCTGTCTGTCTGCGTGTGTGTGTGTGTAAATCTTCCACTTTTCTGCAAATGGCATTACACACTATAGTAACATCCTGTGACGTCATAATCTTTTCATCTTAATCTGTATTTTTTCCCATTGACAACCTTACACCTGTGTAGCCCATACTTCGTTGTTGGTTTACAATGCTTTCTTTCTTCCTTTCTTCCTTTCTTCCTTTTTTCGTTTCTTCCTTTCTTTCTTTCCTTCCTCATCTGTGCCTCCCACCCTCCCTCCCTCCTTTCTCATATCATCAGATCTCAGATTACACAAAAGGGCTTAAGGCAGGTCACACAGCAACAGCCATCCACCTTTCATACTGTTGTTTGGATTGGGAGATTAAGAGACACAGTAATCTGGTATTTGACAAGGGCTTCCTCTATCCTTTCTTTTGCATGGGATTATGCTGTAATATACGTCAGTTTGGTTCCTCTGACGTACTTATAATAAGAAAGAAAAAAGTATTCCGGCAAAGTTTGGGGGTAAAACTCTTTGTGTGTTGTGGAATATGGAGTTTTGTCTCCCGTTCATTGAGACAAGTTTTGTGTCTTTATGAGTTAAAGAGTGAAAGTGTCCTCTCCTCTCCTCTACGTTTCACGTGAGCACGCACACAAAGACACACACACTCACACAAACTCACACACAATCACAATCACGCACAGAAAGAGAGCAAATTTTCCCCATAGAGCAGCAGAGATGTTCCTATGGAGACCACAAATACAGTAACTATGATCGTCCATTAATTACTGTGACTCTCCCCCAGGGCGCCTGTTAGATAAGAAAATAAAAATATATCAGCCAGGTATAAAGTGACGACAGACCGTTGTGTTAGTGCAAATATCGTTAAATAATTAATCCCCAGGGAGACAGAAATCTAATTATGAGCTTGATTTGTGATGAGTCATGAATACTGAGCACTGAGGGCAAAAATCTGAATCTGGTAAAAGTTCCAGCAAACATTAAATAAAATAGATTTAGTTGTTCATTTGTAAAGTTGACTTCATTTTTCATTCGATTACATCAGAGAAGAGTTGGTGTCATTTTTGAGTTGATGCAGTTTGATTTTGACCAAACCATCCCAACTAAAGGTTCCAGTTACCTACTTTTACTTTTACACTTCGCTTATCAACTTTAGGTTTGCTTCGTTGTCATGGAGATGGAGTTAGACAACTATTATTTCCAAGGACCGCAATAATGTTTGGTGCTTGAGGGAACTGCATGGTATTTTGATACCGAAAAGTGAATATGGATGATACACAACCACTGAGGTGGAGCTGCAGTTACTTGGAGGAAGTCTGAGAAATGAGAAAAGAAATCTTAATTTTTGTGAAAGCATATAGAAGTAAATAATGTTATGTGTTTTTACTTTCTACGTTATTTTAAACAATGTTATACTGAAATAAAAACGTACTAGCTGACAACAAATGATAGTGTTATGAAAAAATGCTGGGTCGTTCTTCACCAATAGACTCAGTTGATATACATGGGAATAAAATTAATAAATTAATAGAACGACAAGTACACAAGAACAATACATCTACTCTTTCTTGACCCCATTGAAAATCCAAACAGACCAACATGTGAACTGTGTTGTGCTGTCCCAATCCCCCACATGATGCCTCTGGCACTGACACCAGACTGACCTGCATGAACCAGCATATTGGCTGACGTCTTTAAGATCTCTGTAAGAAAAGGTTGTAATTTCACGGCAGATGACACTCTCATCCAGCTGTGGGAGTTGTTGAGCTGACGTAATCATCTGCCCTGTTGGGATTAACTGGTCGAAAATCACCAGTCATCCAGCCAATCAGGAGCCAGTTCGTAACATCTGTCCTTGGTGTCACAGGGAAAGAAGTCTGCATGGAAGCATCACACACACACACACTCGCACAGCCCCCATTACGTGACGCCAAATCCCATCAAAGTTGGTGCTTGTGTGTTTATGGGTGTAGGTGTGTTTCCATGTGTAGCAGTGCTTGTGTTATTGACGTGACAATGTTATCGAATGAAGGCTTTTAAACTGCAGTTGTCAGACATTTTCCCAAGACAATCCACTACTACCATTCAATAATACAGACCTGTCCTGTCTGCAAGTTCATCCTAGCCAATGAGATTTACATACATAAAACATAAACCACTAATGCCCTTTGCTTTTGCGTGTGGCCTTTTTTTGGTTATGCAACCGGGTGCTTTTTGGTTCTCCTGGTTCGCAGCTTGCTGACATAATAAGCTGAGCGAAATCACCCTGCAACCTTGTCATCAGGCCAAACAGCAGATCAATTGTTCCTCTAACAGTAGATTACCACTGATTCATCTCTTTTTTAGACCTTTGTCCCTTCCAATGGCTGTTTGGTTTTCCACCACTGGTTGGCCTGAAGGTACCTTAGGCTAACCACTAGCAAGGACCTAATCAATAAGCTTTCATTACACAAAACTGTCTGGTCTGCTCTGTGCATTAGGGCAAGGCCAAAATTTGCAGTCAGGGATTTTTGATTGGGAATATTAGCCACACTAGCGGCACGGCTCTACGGATGCCAATCTGATCTGTCCATCACTTGTGTTCAAGATATTAGCAACTGAATGGATTTGTATGGTTCTCTTTCATTTTAGAACTAAAACAAGAAACAGGCACAGACACACTATGCAGTTGGCACATGGATAAGGCAGGATGATCATTGATGAGTTGGGGTAGAGAAGGATCAGCAAAAGGGCAAAGCAATCTGGAATGTACTGTATAAACAGCAGATGGAGTCATGATTTTCTCAACAACAAAAGGTTAAATCAATCAGGTTGACCACATGTTGAAGGTTTATTTTGGAAGATAACAAAACTGTGAGATAAACTGAACTTCTATAAAGTCAATCCTTATTTAATAGAGACTGACAACATGATTTACAAATTTGCTGTTTAATGAAAATTTTGGAGTTTAGGGAGTGCAAGAGTGTAGAGCATGACGGTACTTGAGAGGGTAGGAATCCTATGGCGGAATCCAAGGCTGCATGCAAGAAGTGGCGACTTGGGACATGGAGTGGGTATATGGGGAATATTAAAAAGATGAGATTCTCACTGAGGTAGAAGTCTTGTAACATTCCATTAACTGGAAGCACAAGCTCAAAATTCATGACCAGGTTGGGACCAGGTTGGTGCCTTAGAAAGAAACTACTATGTGGGGGGAAAGTGGTTTCTTGGCCAGATCATTATATTGGGTTCAGGTTTTGTACCTCAGCAGCAGGCAACTAGACACAAGAGATAATAAGCAGTTTAAGTTGTTTAATTACAACTTGAGTGGAAGGTGGGGGCTGGATAAGTTGAGCAGTGGGGGAGTAAAAGATTGCATAGTCCCCTTCAGTCTTAGCACTAATATGTGTAATGTTAAGCATGCTAACGTACTAATGGAAAACATTATATATCAGCATATTACCACGCTGACATTAGCATTTAGATTACAGCACTTATTTGTCTAATTATAACCTTATAGTGCTGCTAGCATGTGTTTTTTTATTGTTAGGAATACTAACATGATTGACAAAGCTGATCATTGTAAACAGTATGCATGCTAAACAACGGCATGTTATCATGCTGATTTAGCATTTAGCTTACAGCACTCATGTAGCTAATTATAGTCTCACACAGCTGCTAGCATGTTTTTCTTATAATCATGTCGTAGCATGCTAACATACCAGACAAAGACAAAAATGCTCTATGTCAATGTTAGCATTATGCTTACAGAATAGCTACAATGGATGTTGTCTCTTTGTGGTTTTGATTTTTGTATGTCAAGGAATTAGCCATCTTTTTTAGCAAGGTCCTGTACTTTCACATTTTGAATGATTGAAGAAATCTCCTCTTTGTCCCCTTTGTTGACAGAAAATGTGTCATGAGAAGACAGTGCTGATAACAAATGCGAGACAGACCTGAGCTCATACCTCCCCCCAGTCCAGCAACAGTACTTTAATGGTTGGAACTGCCCGCCCCAACCTGCATTACTGCCCTCGCAGACACAGCCTGATGATCACCGGTGCCATGGGAGCGGTGCGAGTCAACAGGTGAGATTTAAATTGGGTTCATACATTTATCAACAGGCAGTTTCAGGTTGCCTGTTTATGAAAAATATCTCTGACTAGACACAGGCAAACCCTCATATGAACCATATGACCACTGGCATCTAGATCAAAACCCCTATAAACCCCTTATACATTTTTTAAAGTTTTTTTCAGCATTTATAAATGCAGACTTAAGCAAAACAACAACTTCATAAATGACTTATAAACCTTTGCACACTTATTAAACTTTGCTCAGAAAGTCTATTAGTATGCAAGTGTAAATATCCTACAAACATTTATATCTGCAGACTCGTCATCTTATTGGAAATAGAAACTCACAAGTATTCTGATTTTGGTTGCTGTCTGGGAAATTAACTTACTTTTATCATAAAAATCTGGTTAGGTTATCCTAAGAGCCATTCTCTTTTGTAACATTACCTGCGAAATTAAACAGTTCGAATAATAAAAACAAGCTTGTGACTAATTATCCATTTTTCCTTAGCATATTTATAACAATAAGAATAAAGAGATGTACCCTGTAGCACGAGCAATGGATCTTTATGTCATTGTGTTTTGCATGAATCATTAACTAAGCGGGATGCTAGAGACTGTTGGTTCTACAATTGAGAATCATTTCCTGTTTAATTTTAAGGAGCCATTGACCCTGTGGAGTATGAAAATAGAAAGCTTGAGAGCATTACAAAGACTCAAAAGGGGCCATGGGGTTTACCTAACAGTCAATTCTCTTGAACCTACTTCTTCTTCTTGCTTCTCCCAGATACAGCATCGTTTCCACAGATGAAGATGTCCTGAAAATCTCCAGCTTGGGCCTCCATAACGGCCACAGTCCTCTGACTCAGCAGACCCTGTCGGGGGCCTGCATGCAAGGTGAGGAAGGAGGAGAGTGTCCAGGAAGTGACGAAAGAAGAGGGGCTTTGTCTCTCAGGGTAACAAATGAGCCAATTGTCCACAACAGCTGCCGTGCATCACCTTCATGTCATCTGGGCCTGGATCTGGGCACTGGCCGCCTGCGCAGCCGCTTTGTGAAGAAGAATGGCCAGTGCAATGTGGTGTTCAACAACATGGAGGACAAGCCACAACGATACCTGGCTGACATTTTCACCACCTGTGTAGACATACGCTGGCGCTACCTGCTACTCATCTTCACCACCACCTTCCTTCTATCTTGGCTGCTGTTTGGCCTGATCTTCTGGGGAGTGGCATTCGCACATGGAGACTTTGATCTTCGCATCCCTGTTAAAGACGAGGATCCTCGGAATGGTGCAGAAGGAGGAAAAGATGAATGGCGACCGTGTATTCTCCACATCCAGGGCTTCATTGGGGCGTTTCTCTTCTCCATAGAAACCCAGACCACCATTGGATATGGTTTCCGGTGTGTCACTGAAGAGTGCCCAGTCGCTGTGGTGACTGTGGTGGTGCAGTCCATCGTAGGATGCATTATTGATTCCTTCATGATCGGCACCATCATGGCAAAGATGGTACGGCCCAAGAAGCGGGCTCAGACCTTGCTGTTCTCGCATCATGCTGTCATCGCTCTGCGGGATGGTAAGCTGTGCCTCATGTGGCGTCTTGGAAACATGCGAAAAAGTCACATAGTTGAGGCACATGTTCGCGCTCAGCTCATTAAGCCAAAAGTGACAGCAGAGGGTGAGTACCTCCCTCTGGAGCAAACAGACATTGACGTTGGCTATGATGACGGCCTGGATCGGCTGTTTCTAGTGTCGCCTTTGGTGGTGGTCCACGAGATCAACAAGAACAGCCCTCTGTATGACATGAGCTGTACTGATCTGCAGAAAGAGGACTTTGAGATCGTGGTCATCCTGGAAGGAATGGTGGAGGCCACTGCTATGACCACTCAGGCCCGCACCTCCTACTTAGCCAAGGAGATTCTATGGGGCCACCGCTTTGAGCCTGTGGTCTTCGAAAAGGGTGACCGCTACCATGTGGACTATTCCCGCTTCCACAAGACCTACGAAGTGCCATCTACGCCTCACTGTAGTGCCAGGGAACTGAGCCAGATGACGGGCCGTGGTGGGCAGTCCTCATCCTCCAGTTCGAGTTACTCCAGGTCTCCATCACCGTTTGCCCCGAGGGCGTCCCGCCAGCTCCTGGGCCCTCACTCCCCCAGCGCTTTTTGCTATGAGAACGAGGTTGCTTTGTGTTGTGGGGACGATGAGGATGAGGAGAACATAAAGAAAGAGGCGGGGAGCCTGAACATAAGAAGTGACAGAGAAGTAACGATGAGAGATGACATTCACTTGGGTTTCAAGGAGACATTTGTGGAGGAGCAGACAGTGGAGATGCTGTGTGTTCTGGACACTGAGAATCAAATCAGCCATGACAGACTACCGCCCACCATACCTTTATACATCAGCAGAGAGTCAGGAGTTTAATCAATGGTAATGGCTGCCCTTCCATTTGTTTCCTCTCTTTGTCTGTGTGAATCCAACCAAAGTATTGAACTAGTGTAAAAAATGAAAGATGGTGGACACATTTTAAAGAGTACATGTGCTGAAAGAGAAGGATCTCGTCTGCAGCTGTCACAAACTCAACTCAGCTTTAATTCATAACTTGCTCTGGTTTCAGGTATTGCACATACACAGCTGTAACATCAGTATCTGTAAAACACACAGCTCATCTACTTTTGAACATAGTGAACAGATATTTCTCTCAAATGAGGTTCTCTCATGAAGTACCTCTGAAACTTTACTGGTTTCTTGTTTTATTCAATATAACCTGTGTATGAGCAACAGTTATAGTCAAGCTTTTTGTTATTGATTTCCATTCTTTTTTTCTTTTGTAAATATGGTATGCTTTGTTTTCATTTTAAAATTAACATACATCATATGCAGATAAATGTTCGAAGAGAAAACCTATTTACTTTAATAAAGCATGACGCACATGCTCAACTTCAACAAACTTTTCTCTGCGTAAAAATAAATGATCTCTGTATTTTAAACTTCTGTCTTCCAGCCTAAGTTCTGTAACTTGTTTTATAAATTAACCATTTTCTTTTCTCATGATTCATCACAGTTTGTTCAATAATAAAAAACAAGTTCAAATGAATTAGACACTGAACAAAGGAAACAACAAGTTACACATGTACAGATCAAAACCAAGCACCTTATTCTTACTTTTATCATTAGCTAAAACACTTTGCAACAGTGTCTGAACAAAGCACCCAATAAAACAGTACTGTTAATGCTTGAATTGTATTTGTTGACTGTCTATTGCATTTACACAGCATCCATCCATCCACCTTATAATAACCACAATGGGTTGAAATCACACAGATAACTTTTTTCTTACTTTTGAATCAAAACATGAGCGTTTGCTCTTTCTCTATTTTGGCATCAATGGATAACCAATAGGGCAAAGCCAGCAACTGGGGACCTCCTGTGTGCTATTTGTGCAGTGCAGTGGATGCTGACATTCATCCAGAGGTAGTTATGTTGGTCGGTTAGTTGGTCTACCTCAGGGGTCCAATATTTATTACTATTAGAAGGGTTTTAATGACATTTTTCTAAGATATTCATGTTTGCAACACAACATAGCACTATTTTTGTGATGCCCTGACCTCTCATCTAAAGCCATGAGTTTTAGTGAAATGTCTCTATAACTGCTCAATGTACTACCATTTAATTGAGTACAACCTTTCAGGTTGAATTCTGATCACTTCCGTCAAATTGGTTCCTTGCTTTTGTATGAGACTGTGCCCTGTAAATAGACTTGACCTTAACTTGATTAATCAACTGACTTTAAAGTGAAACAGTGTTTTGAGACAAATACCCTAACCCTAACACTTGACAACAAATTAGCAAAATACCATTTCAAACAAACAATGGGCTAGATCTAAATGAACAGGTCCACGAGATGGAGAAGACTTCAGAGTTGTTAAGAAAGTGCAAATAAATTATTGCATAGTCCTGTTGTATAACAAATACAGAAAGCATAACTTCCTTGGGGGAGGTAATTAATCAAATAATGTCGAGCCAAATCATACGTGGGGTTCTGGCAGCCCTCGAGAGTCTGTGGCAAACTCCAACTAATTCTATAGCAATTGCTCTTGTAAATTACAGAGAAGTATGTGTCACTTTACCCACAATACTCTTCAGTGACCCAAATACATTCATTCCTGGTTGTATCTCCAATGACTCACAGAGTGAAGGACAGATTGAAATTGATGAAACACACACAGACGAGGTTGAGTCTGGCCACACAGGGCTGAAAGGTGAACAGCTTTAGGTGGAATAACAGGAACAAAAAGAAGATCAGGAGTAAGTGAATCCATCAGTGTAGTGGGACCAATAGTTTATTGACTGCTGCACATGCTCCCCCATGTGGTTGAACAGTGACACCACAGTGGATGGCAATGCCACAGAATCTAATCCTGTTTTCTTATGTGGCTTAGTAGGGAATTTAATATTCTACCCTCAACACATGACTGTTCATTAATACCAGTTTTGGGAAAGTGTCTCAGAGTAAAAAAGTGATTTCTGTGATATTTCTGTGGTTAAAGAGGAGTTGATGCAAAGGCATCCACAAAGGGGTCATATCACAAATCCAATTCAGAAGTAGACTGAGAGAAAGAAAATCAACACATTACCTGCACACTATATTTTTCATAGTGAGTGAGCATCTTTACAGTTTTTTTGGGTGTTTCCCTGTCAGCCAGTACTTCTTGTACAACAGGTGTTTGTTGGTTTTCTACCATTTCTTTATCTAAAAAAACAAAATATGTACATTGAGCATTTTGATATCACCTTTTTATTGTGCATTACTCCTTAGTTTGATCTCTTCAGACTCCTAACAGTTATACAATAAACAGTTTAACATGTTTAAATAAATGAATGGAAGTTTATAGAATGTCCTGTAAGGATGGCGGTACAAATGCAAGGTGTGTCTGAGTGTGTGTTTAAGTCGGTAACAACTCCTGCATACGTCAACCGATTTTATGTTCAGATCATTCAGGATGTTACTTCTCTCAGTTTTCTTCTTTCAACTCCAAATACTTTTTCATATATTCAGGTTTTACAGCAATTTTTTCATTTTATTATGAATGAGGCTTGTAGAGTAGGCGCAGGAGATGCTCTTTGCCTGCTGTTGAATAAAAGCAGTGACAAGAAGAGAAGGAGCAACAAAATCAGGTTTGTGTTTCTCAAAGTTTTTTATTGAATATAATCAAGACATTATTAAAGTCAGTGTCTATCAGTGTGACACTGGCCAATCATCTCAGGCCACTGCCTTGTACCCAAAACCTGTTGATGTAAAAGGAAACAAATAGCAGCAACATTTTTTGATGTTTTGTATCTTCACAATTCTTCACTAGGACATTTTGGTTATAATTGTTTCTTCCACGATAGAAAAACAGTCAGATGGGAAATTCCCCCCATCAGATTCCTCTTCTGTAATCTAATCAAGCAATCTTTGATGTGGTTAGATGTCGTCTCCCGTCTCCTCTAATAAGTCGTTTCCCCTTCTTGCAATCTTCCCCTCTCCCTGCTGTCATCCCATCCTGCTGTTTTCTGATGCTGGTTAATTAACCGCACCGTCACACCCCCTGTCATCAGGGTCCATGAGGGAGAGCAGCTGGGTGACCCCTGTGACCTCTGCTAATGCCGCTGATGGCTGACTAGGATCTTACCTAAGAAGGTGGTGTGTGTTCATCCACATGTAGGTTGTGTGTGTGGGTGTGCGTGATCGCTTTAATGTGCGTGACACCCTGCGTATCTGCATGCCCTCTCTGGCCTAACTGGCTGTTTGTGGCCTCGGGCTGTGCGACCAGAGCCAGCGACAGTGTGTGTGCTCAGCAGGGGACAGTATTTAGACACTGGGAGCTGTGGCCGGGGGATCTTTGATTCCATAATGAGCCGTGTTGTGTTGTGGAGCTGTGAACCAGCTCGCTGGGGGGGACAGAGGAGCATTGTGTGCAGCTCGGGCTAAAGCAGAGGAGGCCTGACTGAACTGGGCTGAGAAGCACCACAGGGCAAACATCTTCTGGATACGTCTGTCTGTCTGTCTGTCTGTCTGCCTGCCTGTCTGCCTGTCTGCCTTACTGTCTGTCTGATTGTCTGTCGGCCTGACTGTCTGTCTGTCTGTCTGTCTGTCTGCCTGTCMGCCTGWCTGTCTGTCTGTCTGTCTGTCTGTCTGDCTGTCTGTCTGTCTGTCTGRCTGRCTGTCTGTCTGTCTGTCTTTCTGTTGGTCTGTCTGTCTGTCTGTCGGTTGGTCTGTCTGTCTGTCGGTCTGCCTGTCTGTCTCTCTGATTGTCTGTCTGCCTGTCTGTCTGTCTGCTTGTCTGTCTCACTGTCGGTCTGCCTGACTGTCTGCCTGCCTGCCCTCCTCTGTCTTGTATTTTTATTTTTCCTGTATGACAGACTGTCTTCAGTATAATCAGTCAGGCTTCGATAGCAAAACTGTTGCTGATGTGATTATTGCAATAAAATATGGACGATGTGCTCGTCTGGAGGATTAGAGAATACTGAGTTCAGAACAACAGCGAGAACCTTGAGAACCTTGCTACATGTCATTTATATGTATCTAACTATCTGCAGTAAAATAAAGACAAAATTGCCTCCTCAAGTAAGTAAAATTAATATCAATAATAGATTGTTGTGTTGTGTAGTTGTTGTGTCTTCAAGAAAAACGTTTGGTTAATAGGTTTACTAACAACACCTCTGCCCACCACTGGGTAACACTTTGCCTCTATTTCCAGTCTTCATACTAAGCTAAGCTACTGGCTGTAAATCAGGTTTTAAGATCTTGCTTTTGTGTTTGTATGGGTCGGCAACGTTATGTTTAATATCAGAATTTTCTCAACTGTAATTTATAAGTAACAGTTTCTTCCTAATTCAAATTCTATTTTTGGGTGTTTATACACTCCCTCTCTCCTCACACTTTCTCATTGTATCTACACTGTCTAAAAAAATCTCCTGTGAGAAGTTTATCAAATGTACAGATATTGTCATTTTACAGATAAATAAAAGCTCAAAATGCACAGCCATCAGTAATACAACTTACTGTAAGTAGGTCTTATATCCTATGCTTTTTTATCAAGTTGCAAGGTTGACCAATGTTACCTGCAGTATATTTTGTTGTAATAATAAGAACAGGAATAAGAATACTTTTCTAAACAACTAATACATCATGTCTCTGGACATCAGTCTACAGTTCTCATTCTGACATCCTTTCTATATATTCATCTGATTCCTCTGTGAAAAGGACAAATGGAAATCGTTCTGCCCTTTACAGGCTGTGTGACAAACACTGCCACTGTCACACAGTGGAAATATTAGGTTGCTAATAATTATTCATGCCTTTTTTTTAAGAAATCAAAATGACAGACACGAGGAATGTCATAAATCACCATATTTCTCACTCTATGCTCCCAAATATCTCATCCATCTTTCTGCCCGGCTGCAGCCTTTTTATCTCTCCCTCTGCTCGGACAACAACGGACTCTTTCATGTGGCCATCTTTTCCTCAAACCCCTCAGGCCCTCTCCTCTTCTCTTTGGTTCACACAGACTAATTAAATGCTCAGAAGTCATAATTTGAAAGTCTGCTCCACTTTCTCTCTTTCTCTGTTTTGTCTCTCCTGCTCTTCTTTAAAAAAAAGAAAAAGAAATCTCCTAAAACACATATTTGAGTTATTGGCCCTTGTGGCATTTCAGAGTTGTTGTTTTTTTTTGAATGAAGACACAGATTTTGTTTTTTCATAAAAGAAACATCACTTTATTTGTGGTTTTGGATCAGTTCACATCAAACACATATACGACCACAGCAAATAAAATGTTATGTCCACGGTTCTTTCTGTTTTTGTTTTTTTTATTTGGGGATGGTGCAGTGGTTGAAATGTAAAATCTTAAATGAAGTGTGTTTACTTATTTATTTTGGCAGTGGGGAAACAGAGAGACGGATCTTTTTTGTATATAAAAAAAAACAAGATTATTGAATATATTGAATATAAAACCCATTAGATGAAAGCTGAAAATGAAAGATATAGCCTACAAATTATTTTTAAGGCGAAACATCCTATCTCACAATCTTCTGGATCTTCTCCCTAATCCAGATCCATTTAATCGTTTTTGTGTAATCTTGCTTACGAACAAGCGGACAGGGGTGGAAACACACTTGGCGGAGGTAACAATAATTCCAAGTATTGATAAACA